TATATATATATATATATATATATATATATTTAGATTTACTTGCATTTACTTGCTTGGGCTATACCTACACCTTTTTTTTTCTAACACTGAATTCAAAAATGAGAATTCAAGCTAATTTTAAAAGGTTTAACATCTTCTACAAACCGGTATATGAAAACTCTAACTTACACATACAAACTGTATAAGGTGCCACTTCTCTCTAGTATTCTTCTAATTATATGCGTAATACCTTTTAACTGTTTAAAATTATGAAACACCAGACAAAGGTTTAGCTTTTGACCTCCTTTCTTGACTCTGTTTATTGCTTTCAGTACTCTCACTTTTGACAGTGAATCACACAAAGACGTGTTCTTTGTCGTTAAACTGAAACTACAAAAAAAAGCGACATTGAAATTCAATTCTAAGAAAAAAGTCACTTTTTCAAAAAGTTATTCACGAGGTTTCGAGTTATTTTTCATCACTTTTATTCCAACTCAAATGATTTCTCTGGACTCTACATAAGCTATTGAGCATGCTATAGTATACAGCTGATTAGATATTGTGCAGCCTGTTACTGAAATTGAACTGAACCTTGACATAATAATAACGATATTAACAATAAGCTGTAATGGCATCAGAAACAAGAGCAGTTCCAGACTGGAATAAGTAAAACTAAAAATTTACTTGACAAAGGACATGAACTGAGTCCTTGGATAAGAAGAAGAAGACGATCTGTGAACATATGTCCAACTCTACCATCTTTCAATGCAGAATAATGAACAAATGTTAAAAAAAAGAGTCATCCCAAAAATTGCTAAAACAGTTTGAGATCCAGAGCAAATCCTGCTAACAAGCAGACAAACAAAAACAGAGAAACCAAACTAATCATGTTTCCTTAGGGAGACTACACTTCTTCCATGTAATTGAAATTTAAGATATCGCTGTCTATATATCTTCAGTGAATTCTGCTCACTGGCCCTTGTGATAGTTCTGCCCAGCTGTCACAGTAAATTTGCAAGCCTTTGCAGATGGCTTTACAATACTGTCGTCTACTGAACCAGGCTTGACGGAAAACCTGCCTGTTCTGCATGAAGTTGTGAAAACTAGAAGCCGTCATTAAATATGGAGGGCGATAAGAGTAATGATCTGTCACAGAGAAATAGCCAGAACACAACACTTTCGGGAGGATTACTTCTTCTTACTAATTATAACTAATGAGCACAAAACTGCATTGAAATGTGTGCTCAAGCGAAGAAACGAACAAGCGAAAATACTAGTTAAAAAGGCACTTATGTCAAAACTTTGTTCATCTTGGCTTGTTTGTTTCCTGCATGAAATACACCTACTTTGGCTGGTCAATAACTTAATTTGGACAGTTTAAAAAGGTCATTTGTTCAGGTGTAAATGGCTTCCTGTGACAGTCTGTAAATTAAACTCTGTTCCTTTCGTGAAAGCCAACGTGTAGAGGATGTCATTGTTTAAACTTAAATCTAAACAGGGTCGAACATGCTAACCTTTAAAACTGCTGTCTAACTGGAGTTTCTGAAATTGAATCCATTAACTCTGAAAACAACCAGCAGAGTATTCATCTACACAACAGCTTATTCAACCTAGGGTCAAAGGGGGCTATCATTAGCAAAAAAAGGCTTAAAAAAAAGGTGGTGTATACCCTAGACGTGTTTTCAGACCACCTCTAACATCCACATTTATGGCCAATTTAGAATCACCAGTTAAAGTAACATGCATCTGCAGAGGCCTTGTGGGAATAACGCAGGCCCAATGAGAACACGCAAACTCCACACAAGAACGGCCCCATCGGCCAGGAGGTCCACACCAGGAACCTTTTGCTGTGGTCAAAATTGCAAATAATCCCGAGTTGCAACCCTCAGATAAATTCAATTATTACATCTTGGACAACCAAATTCCATTAGTGATGATTGAGTGTTTTGATGATAACTGTATTAAAATAACTGATAAAATCAAGCAAAACAAAAAAGGAGACCAATAATAATTCAGTCCTAATGACCAAACTTATTATGGAGGTGGGATGGTTAGAAAAAAGTGCTTGGGAAAGCATCAGGGGAGGCTGTAAAACACTTTGACTCAGCAGACCCACTGCAGAAAATGAACCGCATAACCTGCTCCTACACTCAGAGAAGCAGCGCTTTAGGGATGTGCATTCCTCTAAATAAAGACATATGTTTTTTTCTTGTTAGATGCCTAAAAAAATACTGCTCACCTTTCTTTATTTCCCAGCCTTCTTTAAAAATAAAAGTGTTCACTGTCTGGATAACATACAGCTGTCTCGAGTGTACTCTGGCATGGTATAACACGCATAAGATGTTGCACGGCTTTGGCAACACAGGTTTTCTTCCTTTTCATGCAAATGCAGATTGTCTGGAATCTAATTTGGGAGAGCGAGGGGGGAAAAAATAAAGATTAAAGAGATAGAAGAAGAATGGAAGGATGGAGGAAAAAAGGAAAAGAAGTCAGAATGGGAAAGAGGTAGAGAAGAGGGAGAAAAAGAAGAAGGTCAACAGTGGGTGGGAAAGAAATACAGGGGGCAGGATAGAGAGAACAGAGAGGTTCAGGCATAGAGATAGAGGGAGGGAGGCGGGAGTGAAATGGCACAAAAAGTGAATAATCACTCCCTCTCTTCTTTCATCTGCTGGCTTAAAGGCTTAATCTGCCTCCTGCGAGTGTGTGCGCTCATCTGTGTGTGCGTCTGTTTGCACGAGTGTGTCGAGCCCCTGGTGTTCTTCCAAAACGAACCACGAGGGGGCAGCAGCTACTCGCATTTAATCGCTTGTGACTCTGCCGTCCAGTCTGTGATTTGCACAGTATGTAAATAAATACCGTTGATGCCCGTGTGTGAGTGAACTTGTGTTACACTTTAAATGTGAGAAAGCTGTGTTAAAGTCGCAGTGTTTTTAACTTCACTTCTAAAAGTAGGCACCATGGAGATCGGGGTTGATAGAAGTAATGCACTGGATGCCACTTTCTGTCCACCCACAGAGCTAATTACTCTGCCATTTTATTCACCCACGCTCAACACTCTGCTTAGGTTTAAAAAAAGAAGAAAAATTGAGAAAGATTAATCAGGAAATTTTAAGAATGAACATCTCCTTCATATGCATATATCTTATTTAGTTTGGTGTCCTTGTTTTCCCTAGTCATAGCTGTCGCTTTAAGGACAAAAGAGCCTCTGGGTATAAGGATCAAGGTTCCAACATGATTTAATGACACCACTATACAGCTAAATGTGAGACTTATTTACAATCAATCTCCAAAGTGTTTCAAGGCATTTTCAGACTTCATGCAATCACTTCTGACAGCCTTTTTCTTGGCGGTTGGCCTGTGAGGGCAGGCCTCTTGGAAGTGGTGTACAAATGCATTTCAGTGTCCGGCGTGATATGCGTCTGTAATGCTGGCTTGCACTCTAGACAGTGTGTCGAACAGAGATTACCCTAAACTGCGTCTGGCAGAGAGTTATCATAGCTGCTTCATCATTTCCTCTGTAACAAAGTCTGTGCAGCCTCACCGCCACGCTGATTTCATACCTGATGTTTCAGCTGTGCCAATGCAACCGCGAACGAGCCAAGTACAAAAGGATAGTGTCATATAATGGGACAAAAGATGTCAATACCCAGTTTTTTAACCAATATTAATTAGGTTGTAACAAGCCCGTTTGTCTTCGGAAAAGAAGACGAATTATCTGGCTTTCCTCTGAAATTTTAATCAGCATTTAGATGATAAATGGATGTTACAACTACAGAAAAATCCATACTGAGAGGCTCTTTTGGGATCAGAGACAGCTCAGAAAGGATGTTTAAGCCAGGTGATCAGTTAAAAGCTGAGAAAAATCTCCTTAAACCCTCCAAATATATGATTTTAGGAGGGTGGTGCAGAGGTGAGCTTGGGTCTGTACATGTACCTGTGTGTGCACAGGGAACTGTGCTTGTTTGGCAAATGGTGATTTGAAACTGACCGTAGACGTGGGTGTGAAAGTGTAGTTGTCATTTTAGCTATCTGTCTAGGTTCTACTGCGCCTCTGGCCCTATATCAGCTGGGATAGGCTCCAGGCCCCCTAAGAAAACTGTAAATTGGTTAAGTTGTTAAGAGAAGACCATAGTGTGTATAATTTTAGTGATAAAAGGCAGCATTCTTTAAAATCATAATGAAATAAAGGATGTCATAAATAGCCATTTTAAATGAATTACACGTAGTTGTAATATATTTATTAGTATGTGGAACACAAACTCCTAACAAAAAATGAGAGGCATTTCATCTATGAGTGTGACAGTGTCAACAAGGCCTCTGCCTGCTGTTCCATAGTCAATGAGCTGTTTGTCAGCTAGCCACGTAGTTAGATTAGCTGTCCCAGACAGTGAAGCCAACAGTGAAGCAAATGGAGCTGAGACAGATGTGAGCTTTCGGTGCCATCATTCACTGTCAAAGCAGTCCGACTTAACATCCACAGCTTTAACGCTGCGGTTCTTATAACATATAGGATGGCACTCAGCGTTTGTGCCAGCTGCCTGGGTGAATGACACTTACCGAGGAAGAGGACATACACAGCACAGATTTCACACCTACTTAGCTGTGAAAGGTGAAAGACAAAACACATTTTCTCCTCGCGTGGTGTGAACATTAATTAAACTATATGTGATGAGTATTAATAGGAGGAGTATAATGTCTGGAGACATAAAAGTAGAAGTGGCACCAATTACTTGTTCCCTCAGTTACTATCCGTGTAAATGAGAAGAGCTGGGCGGTCTGAAATGAGGGAATTTAGGTGCAGGCAAAATACGCAAACTGACAGATGAGTTTTGCCATGTTGAATTTCCAGCCGTGAAAAACGATTCTGTGAACATTTTCATTAATAATTTTTGGCAATTCTGGTATATTTTTCTGTGTTCATGTCCATAGATCTGAAATATTCTTGCCCTGATATAAATACAGTCATTTATAGTTATTTTATGATTAAGAGGTGTGACTTTCATTTCTCATAGAACCTAATTCCCACAAAACAGTTCAGTTTTGTGATTATATATGTGAAGAAAATAATGAAAGCCATATTGTAATGTAAGACATCCAATTATTCCATTAGAGGAAAAGTCCTTGTGGCTGTAATTTCACAAAATCCAATAATTTTTTTTCAAAATCTGATGGCAAATGTTTGTACAAAAAGACAAATATTGAAGCAAGCTAATAATATTTGCTCTCTGCTGCAAAGTGTCTTCAGAATTATCAGCGAGAATGAGCCTCACCTTCTCTGCTTTGGGCGCGAGGACGCCTTGGGCTGTGGTGTGTGAGGGGCCCGGCGATGGCGGTTGCAGTGGACTGGCTGACTCTCCGTTGAGGAGCACCGCGGACACGTTCGGAGGCGTGAGGCAGGAGAGAGGGGAGGAGAGGGGGAGGATGGGGCGCGAAGCCGGGGAAGAGAGGGGCGAGGGCCCTAAGCTGGGTCCCGGAGACACCATGGAGAGAGGACGACCCGATTGGCCAGGGCAGCGCGACGGGGAGGAGCTCTGAGAACGAAGGGGAGATATGGCCACCGTGGGGCGTTCCGGGCTTGCAGCAGAGGGACTGTGGACTGGAAGACACAAAGATGCAGTGTGGATTAGTATAAATGAGCGGCCTTCACTGACTGTAGCCGTCACTCGGTATTAGGCCCTGGAGGGAACAAATCAGTGGTTTGACATTGAGTCTCACTGAATAATCACTTAATATTGCAGGAGAGGGCTGGTTTTAAAATTGTGTCTCGGAAGTAATAGGTCTGCCTGTATCTGTAAGCAGTTAGCATCATTATTACTTTCAAAGTCATCTTAGCTTGTTTAAGATGTACCCGTGCTACCTCACCCCTCTGTCTCCTGATACTCCTCATATACTGGCTAACACTAAATTACTTGATACATTATTGTGTCCAAGGCTCTGGTGCAATTTGCACAGGATAGAAAACATAGACACAGTACAGTCAGCCGATTGTCAACACCCATGTTGGTGCAAATATGCAAAGAAGTTGTAACCACTTTAGTTCCTACATGAGAAGTCTTCCAAACCTGCAAGTTTATAACGTCTGTTTAGAAACCAACTTGTCCAACAGCTAAGATAATAGTCATTATAATGCATTACTTCATGCATTTATAATTGTATTAATTAAATTTATAATGTAGGAAATGCAATTTAACACTATTAGGGCTGAGTTTGTTTCTCGTGAGAATAAAAGTGCACAAATATACAATTCCACGACAACATTCAGGCAAGCACGTGAGTGTGTTTGTGTATGCATGTGCACGCACAAATGGACACATATGGTTGCTAGCCACCTGCTCTTCTACACTGCAGAACAGAGGCAGAAATCCACAGAGAGGTGTACCGGTCATGTGAAAACCCCCAAAATGCCAGAGCTATGCGCATACTTTCTTTTGTAATTGAGAACAGATGCGTGTGTGTGCATGTTCGTGTGCGTGCGTGCGTTTGTGTGCGCATATATGCGAGAGGGAGTGCAAGAGAGGGAGAGAAAAACAGAGCGAAAGGAGAAGCTCTGTCATTACGCCTCCATAAAACAAAAAGCACAGTGATGTCATTCAGCTGTGTGTTTTGTGAGTCTGTGTGTTCACTTGTGTGTACGTATGTACGTGGGAGTGCTCGTGTGTGTATGTGTGTTATTCTTGGCTGTCTCCTCACAGTGTGTACTCTTTAGCTTCCCAAATGAAACACTCACCATTATTTTCTCAAAGGGAGAAAGCAAAGATTCAAAGAGAGAACAAGGCTGATGTGTCGTATGGACACTGCTGTGTGTGTGTGTTTCTGGGAACTGTGTGTAAGGGTGCTTCTGGCAAAAGCAGTAACACTGCATGATCAGAGTGCTTAGAAATGTCTGTGTTGTGTGCAGAAGTCCAGTGTCTTTATGTGTGAGTGCATGTAGTAACACTGACATTGTGCTAAATTATCCAGCTGAGGTACAATGTGTTCTTGTACAGCCTCTCTGAACATAAACTCCCATCTTTAGTGTTGTTCCTTAAGGTTTATGGGGTAAAATGCAATGATTGAGTGTATGTGTATGATGCACATTAAATAATGTCCCACGATCACAAGTTTTTTCTAAATTTAACAAAAATGTTTTAGTGTCTATATTTAGGTTTTGCTGCTTTACTGAGGACTGCAACCGGTTGCAATCAACATGCTGCAGATACAGACAATACGATTGTTGGAAATACATTATATTTACCCCACAGCATACCCTCTGGGCCATTTTATTAGGTATACCTATTCAGCTGCTTGTTATCTAATCTGGCAATCACGTGCAGGCAACTCAGTGCATTTAGGCTTGTAGACGTGGCAAAAACAACCTGATGAAGTTCAAACTGAACATCCAAATGGGGAAGAAAGGTGATTTAAGAGACTCTCAACCAAACTCCCTGAGAGAAACTATCCAGTGAGCGGTAGTTTTGCAGGTGCCAGAGATCAGACGAGCAAGACCAGATGGCTTCAAGATGACAGGATAGCAACAGTAACTCAACAAACTACAGGTTTCAACAAAGGTATACAGAAGAGCATCTCAGAAGGCACAACATGGCAAACCTTGAAACAGAATACTTTCAAGCAAAAGACCAGAGAGGGGCATCATTCAAACCCCACAGACTACTAGGATGACATGTCCTTCCTTCTGATTGGCTGCTTTCAGCGGGATAATGTGCCACGTCACAGAGCTTACATAATTTCAAACAGATTTCTTGAACATGACAACGGGTTAACTGTAATCAAATGGCATCTCCAGACACAATTTGTCGATCCAATACAGCACTTTGAGACAGGGTGAAACAGGAGATTCACACCAAGTCTGTCCAGTCGACAAATCTGCAGCAAGTGTGTGATGCTTTCATGTCAATGTGGACCAAAATCTCACCTCGTTGAAGCTATGCCACGAAGAATTGAGTTCGTTCTAAAGGCAAAGGGGGAACCAACCTAATACTCGCAAGGCATACCTAATAAAGATGATGAGCGTATTTTATGAATGTATTAAAGCGAAGCAGGGTTATAAAAAGAAACCTTGGTTATCATGTTGACTAATAAAAAATTCACCAGCTATTAGATCAGGGTTTTTCTCTGTCTGGTTTGGGAAAACCTGGGTGGATATGTGCACTTTGTTCATCATTAGTGCACAACTGCTTGCCAGCACAATATACTTTAAAAGCCAAGTGTGCACATACCTTTGGATATTTTGTCTATGTGAACAATACTAACTGGGTTTCATTTATTTAGGCACATTTTTCTTGTTTGCTTTTATTTAGCTGCTGCCAAAAACAATCAGCACATGACTAACAACATGGAAGAAGCTGAAGATTAAAGAGGTTACTTGTAAAACTGCATATGGTAGCTACTTGAATTAATGACTGTTCAATATTCCATTATTCTGTAATCAAAGACTACGGGGAAACAATGCTATAGCACCCCAAATAATCTGGACTTGGCTCCTTTAAGGCTGGAGGCTGCTGAGCAGTTTTACTGAAGCACATTAAAACTGTAAAAATACTGCACATCCCCGTATGATTTCTTTTTACTGAATATTTCTTTGCAGGAAAGATTCAGTCATCTGTCATTTAAAGAGGCTTTAATGTTTCCCCTTCTCCTGCGGAAAACCTTATTCTTTGTTTCTCAGAAGTATACGTCAATTTCGGAATAACTGATTTATCATCAAAGTAAAATCTTTTACCAATCATAGAACATACTGCCTGTGTCAGTTTGTTAGTCAAACCTTTGCTTTTTGCTAACTCTGAACTTGAAACTAACAGTCCTATTAGCCTGAAATCTGTAATGCTGCAAAGTAAAGTTTTTAAAGCATATTACAAAAACCCATGCATGATATTTTTCAGGATCTCCTTTGCTGTTACCCTGCATTAAAGAAAAATAAACATGCGATTAAAGCAATACATCTATGTGATACTCTAGGTAACTGAAAAAAAAAGACTTTTTCTCTGTGTCACAACATCCCACCTGGATGCAGTAGCCTTAACCTGGCCTGGCAGGCTAGGCTCAGTACAGCTGCTTTTACGAAATGAAGGGGAACGACACTGTTATGCTCTCTTCCGTGCTGTATATAGACCTTTTTCTGGCTTATAAATTGTTCCATAATGAAGAAAGGTGGTTTAGAATAGAATAGAATAGAATAGAATAGAATAGAATAGAATAGAACAGTTCTTGTCATTATGACAAGCTAACAAAAGCACAAGAAAACAGATATGATAGTCTACTTTAATTGTTATATTTGGGTTTAGTACATTAAAATCCAATTAGTAATTTTTTCTCACAAGAGGAAAACTTGTGCAAAACTTTTGACCAAGTAGAAATATATAGATTTAAAATGTTTCTGCTCACCCAGCTGCATTGAGGTGCGTGCTTGGTTGGTATGCTGGCTGGAGCGCAGGCAGTTTTTCAGCTGGGCGGCAGCAGTTTGTGGCGAAGAGGCGGGACTGATGCTGTTAACAGCGTTGGCTGCATTTACCAGTGGGGTGCCAGGACGGGACGAAGAGGGCCCCGGGGATCCTGGAGACGAGGGGTCTAAGATTTTACTTGCCACCTGACTGCAGCCACTTCCTCCTCCTGGGCTGGACAAACACGAGCTCCGAGTAGCACCAACTCCAAATGGAGCCCTTCAACGAAAAAAGGTGAAAGCGATATAGACTTTTTATTAAATTAATTTTATCATTTAATTACAACTGCTTTCTACTGTACTTGTGACCCATTAACATTTACTGCTCTGAAAACATCAGTCTCTTTCAATACAGTGACTTTTCTTCTAGTGCCACATTAAGATTCATTTCAGTGGTTTAGAGTAAAAACTGTTGAACATATTGCCTTGAAATTTGATGTACCACTGGCCCCTGACAGCCCTCTTCTGTTTATTTGCTCGGTAACTCAAATACCCATTTAATGCTAAGTAGCAAATCGGAGCTTGAAAACCTACACTTTAATGTGGTCAACTCCAGCTGTGTATTCATCTCAAGCTGACGTGAGAAAGTAGCTTTACAATCCAAGACCAGAAGCCATCTCCATGTATAAAAATAAGATGGAGATAGCTTTTGGTTTGAAAAGTAAAGCCAGTGTGGAAGGGCCCTAAACATACAACCATTGCAAAGGAAAATCTGATTGGACAGATTTACCCAATGATATATTAGTTTAGTTAGCATCCTTTATATGGTCTCTAGCTATAGTCTTCTTTAACACAGCATGGTGTTTGCATTGTAAGTTAGCCATATTTAAAGTAAAAACAGAAAAAAAATGAGGGAAAAGTCTTTAAAAATGGCTACCCCAGTCCTTACCAACCTGCAGCAACTCTGGGAACTAATTCTGGCCTTCTGGTGAACGATAAATGCAACTAGTTAACAGATAACAGATTTACCCTTTTTACTAATTTATCACGGTTAATTGCCATATTATCAGAAATTAATTGCATTCAAATGCAAATGTGATCCCATTCAGATTTAAACTGATAGACTGGTAGCAGATTGATAGTGAATGCAGTTTTATCTTATTGCATCAAAGTCACTTTAAAGACAGCAGCTGACTACAAGTGGTTGCAGACCTGGTCCCTTTCTTTGAAGCAACCATTTCAAAGGCAACAAGACTTTAAGTTCATTGCACGCAGTCACAGTAATTTAGTCATGCTGCGGTCTCTAACCACTGCTTTCCCTAGTGAGACCGTAGCACAATGGGGAATATAACTGAAAAAACAAACATCATATCATACTTAATAAGCGACCGAGACAATAAACTCATCAGGAGTTATGTTAAATGTTAATTATGAGCCAGTACTGAATCCAAAATTAAAATTTGCAAGCTTCCCTGTCAGTACTATTACCCTCTGTCAAAGTGAAAAATTCCAGTACTATTATCTGACCGGTGGATCAGCACGAGAAAGTGTCCTGCTGTAACATATATGGCGTTGCAGACTGCTCATGTTTCTGTCTGCAGAGTGCTGAATGGCAGAACAGTGAGCTGAACATTATTGACGCAGCGGTATTCACACACTTATGGTTGCCCATCGACTTCCCGTCAGACACATACAGAGTTATGGCTTTCTCTCCCTGTGTGTGTTTTTGCCAAAAGAAACTGCAAAGTTATCCACTGTTTCTTCGACACACTAAATTCAACTGCTTAAAGTGTGTGCTGGGTTTAACTCAGGTCTTTTAGCAGGCGTTTTTGGCCTTACTTATGAGTAAGTTTGAAGATTTCATACAAAAGAGGATTTTTTTTCCCCCCAGTATGAGTTCAAGATCGGAAATTAATCCGGCAACACAACAATCAAAAGGCTTCTTGGGAGTCTTATGTTTAATCACATGCATTTGTTATGTATACTCACGGTTTGCATTAACCAGGATAATGAATTCCACAACAAATATGCAAATATTCAAAGTGAAATTTAAATTTGCCAGTATGGGCCACCTGTGTAGCTCTAAAATAAACATGCATTTATGTGTTTGATCAAGTCAGTGTGTTTCTGTGTGCATATCTTTGGCAGCTTCTCATTATCATACTGAGAAATTTCTGAGCTGCACTGCAGACAAAGGGGGGTGGGGGGTAGGGGTGGGGGGTGTAAGGAGGGAGGAAGGCAGAGAGGGAGAGAGTATGCTTGCGTAAAAATAACAAATTGCCTCTCATTTGATTACTCGCCCATCCTGTCTTTCTCTGTTTCTCTCTTCTTGGGATTGCATAATTGCAAAATGTGAAGCAGCCATTCATATCCACTGGAGAAGGACACCTGCTGTTTTTGCACCCGTTTCATGTCTTTGTATCATTTTCTTTTGCTTTCTCTTCCTTCTTCTCTCTCCTGCTCCTCCTCCTCACTCTGTCAATTTCTCTTTCAGCCATCTTCTGTTTGAATTTCTTTCCATAATTCACGCCCTTCTTCACCTTTTCCTTTGTCAAACCCATTCTATTCCCTTTCAACCGTTTTCTTCTCCTCTCACATTTTGCTTCCCTCCATTCGCTTTCCCTGTTTATCCTGCATAGCCTCATCATGCTCTCCAGCTTCTCATTACCTTCCTCTCTCTCATTTTTTTGGCTCTCTTTTCTTCCATTACTGTTACTGTGCCTTGCTTTCATTTTCTTCTCTCCTTTTTCTTGACTGCATCATGGAGCGGAATACAGATGAGATATAAAGCGACTGAAAACGTTTTAATGCATATGGGAATAATGAGGGTAATTAAGTTGCAAAATATTTCAGCACACCATTTTTACTGGTTTATTTGTTTTGGACAGCTACGAGAAGTAGCTGTACTACTAAGTAACGACGAGGATGGTAATTATAATAATGACGACAGTCGCAATGATCTACGGTGAGGCTGCGGAAGCCAAACACTAGAACGGCAGAGCCAGTAGTGTCGGACTGGTTACATTTTATGATGTATTTAATTTAATCGTCATGTAACAACATTGAATTGATTAAGAATGGATTAGATCAAGATTAAGACATTTTTGCACTACACTTTGTTTCTTCTTGTCTTCACAGCAATATACAGTTTCGCTCCTAGCAATGGCTTCCCAGATCATACTTCTGGTAAATGTGCTGGCTCGACCTAATCATTTTGGTGGTTTTTGTAGCCACGTTGGAGATAATATGCACAGATTGCACCTTTCTCCAACTAAAGCCCCCCAAAATTACCTTTTTGGGTGTGCCTTTGTGACGAGAGGCAGCCTGAGTGCAGAAAAACACATGTGCAATTGCCATGCCATAATACCGGGCAAATTGCACATTTCAGTCTGCAACTAAGTAATGACTGCAAAAAAATTACACAGTAAATTACAACAACTATGTTGATAACACCATTCACATTGCCTTTGTGAGAGGACAAAATTGGGGTGTGCGTCTGATTTGATTGCAATGCTGGGTACATTTAAAAAAATAAGAGGGCAAAAAGGCTTTAACAGGGCATAAAGAGATTAAAAATTTAACTCATGTGCCCTCTGCTTATACTGTGGAGAAATTCAGTTGAACTTACTTGTCCATCTTCGGTGAACGAGATTAACTGTACTCTAAGCTTCATCACCACAGCTGATATGATTGGCAGTCATAATAAGAGCTAGTGGAATTCTCTAAAAGCTAAGGTGCTTTAATTGTACCTTTATTACTTCTTTAAGGCCCAGCATAACTAAGACTAATTCAAAAATCAAACATAATGCACCATTTGGGTGTTCGTGAAAACAAGCCATCACCAGGTAAATGACCACTTTTACCAATATGTTGAACCCACAAGTGCACTATAAACTTTATGCTGTCATAAAATCTGCTTGTTAAGTAATTGTTGTCTTGTATGCAGCTCTTTGTACTGTGGATTTAGAAAAGATTATAGGCTCTATTAAATTGATGAAAGTGAAGTTGATGTAGCACAGCATAAGATACTTTTATTGCCTTTTACTTCAGTCACAGAAGCTGAAAGCCTTGCCTTAATAAAGGCTAGACTTCAAATGGATTTTCCACTCAGCAGGAAGAGAAAATATAAATGGACACAAGGGTGAGCATCAAGTCTCGATGTGACAACCATTTCATTTCACTTTACTGTTTTGCTTTTCAGCTTTGGTAATGAAGTAAAAATGCTCAGCGTGGGGTCCCAGTTTATTTAGCTTACATCAAACAACAAGGTAAGAACACCCGGGGTGGGTATCTCTGTTATCTGTCTTCAGAACACTGTAGTTTTACCACAGCAGACAAGTGGATGGATGGACACATCTCAACAACATCTGTCATTGCATAACTAAGTTGCCAAGTGTTCATGCAGTGGTAGTTTCTTTCACTATTTAACCACATGCATGCAGTACTTTCCGCTCTCACCTGGACACAGGAGTGACATAGTTTCCCGGGAAGACGCCAGAGGCAGCAGTTCTCAGTGACGTGCCTTTGAACCATCCGTCTTGACACTTCTCTGTCACCCGATACATCTCCCCTTTTCTAAGCTCCAGCTCGTCAGCCTTCTGGGGTTTGTAGGCATATAATGCCAGGTATCTGAGAAAGACAAGTGACAAGCTGCATTGCAAAAGCGAGTCATATAATAACAATATTTAACTCTAAAGGAAATCTTGAACAACTGTTCACCTAATTATAAACTCCCACTGGACATCTTCTTCTTAAAGCATGCATGTGGATTACTCCGAGTGAACAGCAGCAATTCAATCTTTTAATAAGGCAGTGCTGTTTGGTCCTTCCACTATAAATCCCCTGTTTTTGCTGTATATTTCATGTCTGTGTATTACTGTCTCCTTTAGAAATAGAGGGAAGGAGTGGGACTGCAAACACGAACAGTTGTCAATTACTGGTTTAAGTGAGACTATGATTATCACCCTAACACTGCAAATAAATATATACATGTACAGCATGTATAATGTTTTACTCCAAAAGTTGATTCTGTTCATCTGGATGTAGCGTTTTCAGTGGGAGAAACATTTCATCACTCATCCAAGTGACTTCTTCAGTCTCAGCTGACTGCAGGTTTCCCCAGTCTTATAGATAGTGCATTTTATGAAGGAACTGAACTCCCAGCCCATTGTTCCTTCAGTGGTGCTAGTTTCAGTCATTATGTAAATGCATCGTCAATGTTTTACCTTTACTTATCCACTAATGTGTCTAAGAATTAATTCTGTAATGCAGTTGTACAGTTGTTGAATACTAAATAAGAAAGAATATATTTAGACAGATCTTACAATAGCTTCAATTTACTGTTATGACAATTTGAACTATAAGACAACAAAAACACTGTTAAAAAGAAGAAAACATCAAAAGACGTAACACCTTTTTTGCATACTTCCTATTTTTACAGGACAACACTTTTTTTCTGTCTGAAGGACCAGTGTGACCACTAGAGGTGAATGTTACACTTTGCCATACGTGTCTTGGTTTATGTGTTTACACACACATTTATTGATCAGTGTAGTATTTTGAAATGTCCTAAATGTGACTGTATATTGAGTTTTGTGGGTTCCACAACTACTACATATACATGATATCCCGGTACCGGTGCTGGAGTGCACTCATAGTTGTGTGGTGCCAGATTCCAACAGAAGACGATAATACCAGAAAGTAAACAAGTACTATATATGCTGCCTTCCCGTTTCCATGGTAACAGATGTAGGGACTGTCTTCGGTCTCCCCATGGCAACAGGAACAGTTGCCAGGTCAAGAGGAAAACGTCCGACCTCATCAGTAGTATGAACTCACTCCGGATGCACGTGTGCATATTGTGTGTGTGTTTGTGTGTGTGCGTGAGAGAGCGCACGTCTGAGTGTGTACCTACTACTTGGAAAGTGATATTATTAAATCTGACAATGTTGCTGTATTTGGCTCACATCCTGCAGGAAGGACACCGGTTAATAGTAAACAGCACACACACAGGCCATCGCACACACGCGCATACACACACGCGAACTTCTACTTCTATACAAGTGAAGATCTTCACTGGTGTAATGTTGTTCTTGGCACAAATGTATGGGTTTCTTTTTTAACACAATGTCTTTGTTATTTGTTTGAAGAATGATTTATAGTAATAATAAAACAAACAAGCAGATACAAATAAATCCTACAAAATAATACAATAAAAAAACAAAACCCCTAAATGTCCCAATTCCCAAACACTGACACTTTAAAAGTTATACCAAAGTAAACACTTTTGCTGTGGTTTACACTAAATAGTCAGTTTTTCTGTTCGAGCCCAAAGCTTTAGAAATTCAAACTTTTACAAATCTCTTTTTTTTACCCTGAAAAAATAACGCTATTATCTTTTTGTAATTTGAAAGAATATTGAGTTTCATTAATGTCTGTCCATTGTTATTATACCATAGTTCTAATTCTAACCTTGTATGGCGCGCAGACTAAGCAGGTGTCCTCACTTTCCAAAAATATCCACACCCTCAAGGTCTCACTCTCAAAATTGGTCCATGCAGCAATGGAAGCACAAGAGAACAATCACATGCTCACCTTGAAGAGACCTTTATTTTCCTAGTTAATTTGTTTGTAGGTTAGTTATGTGGTAAAACTAGGTTAGCAGTGGCACTTCCCCAGGACTGCTGACCACCTAAATTTTCCAAAGGATTCAATGTAGTTTTTGTGTGTTTGTGTAAAGATAAAGTCTCCAACTGCAGCAATAAATTACTTTATCATGCACATCCTAATGCATAACACCTCTTTTTATGCAATGTTAGTGTGATAGTCATAGTCTCACTTTTTATGTCATAATCTTTATGACAGAAATCTTTTTTGTGTGCATCTCTCATCCCTCTTAACATGGTCATTTTAATGAAATAACAAAAACCTGTACAGTAAAATGCTGTTAAGAGCCTTGTTACGAAACACTGACGTAAGCATCGCACAAGTGAGGAAATAGCATAACAGAGGTGCAATTTTCCTGTCTGGGGAGAATTTCATCATTGACCAGTGGAGGAGCGAATGTGCAGAGGTGGTGGAACACGGCCAATATCTCAGAGCACAACAAAGGAAATATTTTTAACCCTGCCAACAGGCGGCTTGTGAAATCAAGCTTGGATCTGAGTCGCACGTATGCTGTGATAAACAGAATGGGCAGGTGGAAAAAAGAGAAAAGAAAGTCACAGCTGGGTGAACTCACAGCACTGAGGCATACTCACATGTTGAGTGGGAGCTGAACCTTGGCATGGGCCAGCAGCTCAGAGGTTATGGATGCCACTTTGGGGGGCACCAGCACCCCTGCTGAGGAGGGAGAGGGACCTGGGGGAGATGGATCCTAAAGAAATGCAGAAAGATATACGATGAAAATGCCTACAACCCACATGCAGATTTACAGTATACATGCTGGGTATTATTCACAGAATACAAACTGATCCCACGTCTAAATACAACCAGAGGCAGTATTTGCAAGAGCAATGCGTCTCTAGTGAAATGCTGTAAATAAGAGGAATGATTTTATTTACATGGAACTGGACGAGTAGGTGATTGGGGAATAAGTTATTAAAACTAGAGTAACAGAGTGACTGAAGTGAACTCTGGTTTGTGAAATGCAAGCAATGCCTTAGAGGTGAAACCAAGGAATCAGCAGGGGCAATACACTGGCTGATATTAGTTCCCCGCAGATATATTACATGCCAAGCAAGGCATTTGTTGACTGCTGTTTAACTAGAAAATGCACAAAAAATCCAAGTGATTTTCACTATACACTTTTTAAATACAAAACAAGCATAGTACTTGTACATAATGGAGCCACATTACATCTAATCAAGTATTTTCTTATGCTCAAACAAACTGATTTTCCCTGATATAAAAGATCTGCTGCGTTCTGTAATTATGGGGTCTGTGTACATCACAGCGTTCGCATGCACCTGGATGCGTGCAGCCGCTCTGGGGTCAGAGGAGCTGATGAGGACTGGGTGGGAGATCTCCATGCTGTGTCTGTTGTTGAGCTGGGCAGCCCTCTGGCTGACGGATAGAGCGGTAAACGAATGGCGCTTCTTGGCGTTCTTCTTTCCTTCGCCTCTCCGATGGCCAAAGCCGTTTCCATTAGACGGGGACGCGCTTGGGGAGGGCCCGGAAGAGCAGGGGCCCAACGGGGCCGGCTCAGAGCTCGGACCCGGTGCATTAGCTGGTATAGGTTTGTCAATCTCCATCAACTGCTTGGCTGTTTCATTTAACTGCGAGGAGAGCAGAGGAGAGGAGAGGGGGAGGGAACTATGAGAGAGAAGACGTTCAGGTGTTCGATTTCAGACCTGAGTGGTTCAAGTACATCTCCAGTACATTCAAGTGTGTTTGTGTGGCTCTCTTGCTGCTTGTTCTTGCTGGCAGCTTTTCAGACCAGCAGCACAAGAATCATCACTTACAACAGCAGGTCTGGTGAGACTCCCTCTGTGTAACACTTTGACAGTAGCTCAAACACACAGATACTCAAATAACCCACAGAAAGGTGAGCATTCACTTTGCTTGCCAGAGTTTACTCCTTTTCTTCTCACCAATAGATGGTCTTGTACATGTTTCAAACATTTATTTACAGAGTATTTCCAGGAAAAACATTTTTTTTGGGGGGGAAGACACAATCAGCCTGATTCACTAAACAGGGGACTGACCTGCAGAGTGTGGGGGCCACCTCCAAATAGCGCTCATAGGTGTCGTTAGCTGGGTGATTTACAAAAGCTGTGTTGTTTTCTAAACAGGTGCAGTCGGCTTATTTCAATATAAAGCACAAAAAATGAGACATGCTGCTTTTTGGTGTTAAATATTGGAACAATTAGCAGGAAATTATGTGCACAGTAAATCACTTACTTTGCACTATTGATTTAAATATTATCCTCCCTATAATTTGCACCTTGAAAAAGGAATTCCCAGAAATACGTATACAACACGGTTAGTGGCATAACCCCAGTTTCCACCTCTTACACGCAATCTTGACACTGCACTCTTTTGGAAATACCATTTTTCTGTTGTTTTGGTAAAACATCCTTTTAAGACGTGGCAAAAATGAATGAATCCAAAGCCTCATTAACTGGGTGATTAAAAAAAAAGGTTGGCTCTGTGACTCTAACATCTGGTCAGAGCTCTGGATTTTAATAATGTGTCAATTTTATTTATTTATTTTTTTCAACCAGAAATCGATGAGAAAGAAACACCTACTTTATTTTTTTTTTTACTTTACGGTAGAAGAGCTCACACTATCGGCACAGGTTGTGGTCTGTTTACAGACAGTGTGATTTACCGGCAGAGGAGAAGATGCATCATTTTGTTGAGGTAAAGAAGGAAAATAATTCGAAAAAAATAAGCCAATAAATTACGAGTGCAAAGTATCAAATTCCAGGTTCCCTTACAGCTGATAAATAATTTTACTTATTAAATCCTGATTTATAACAGTTACACATGCGATACACTATATAATAGAAGTATTAGACGTCTAAATTATGGATCGCTGTGCTGGGAAAAAGCACCAGTATAGGAGGTAAAAGCACCTCTGTAAATCTAATCAATCTTGATTATTTGTGGTCAGGCACTGACCTGCAACAAGAAGTTTGTTGGTGTAGTCCTGATCATTGCCGTTTCCTACTGTACTCAGTATGCATCATATTATCAAGGAAAGAGCAAAATGTGTTTATCGACATAAAAAAGTAGTGAAAATATGAGAATGAGTGTTCCATAGAAATTGAATTATGTTATGTTATTATCTGTAATACTTACCAAGCGTTGGAAAACCCCCTATATGAACTAATCTGATTGTGTTTTCTGTGGACGTGAGCACATATTTGATTGCAAATGGGATTACTGAAAGGAACAATTTGTATTTTCTGACCATTATGGAGCTCTGAGGTAGTTTAAGCTGGCAGTGAAGTTGTTTTACTGTCACACGTTGCTTGTACAATCCAATTAGTCATCCAAGCAATCATTACAAGAACCTGCCGCTCATTAATTCTTCTTACTCCGGTGCTTACGCTGCTTCTCTTTGTTACTGAAGTATCTGTTGCTTGCAATTCAACCTCCCTTCGCCTCACTCAGACAGAAACCCTGCAGCTTTTACATAAATACTATATACGCATTAAGACCTGAGTATTTCACTTTTGTTACCTCAGTGAAAGTCTAACATTTCCGCTTCACATTTTTCTTCAGTGTAAAGCAAGGGTCTTTAAAGTGCTGCCTGCAGGCCAATGGCAGCCCATTGTTACATGCTGTGCAGCCTGCAAGCATGCCAAAGAAAGACTGTACATGTACATGTAGTTCATCGGCACTTCATGCCAAATTAAGGTATGACTTGGCACAGAACAAGACCAAAGGAACAACTCCTTTCAATTTTAACTCTTGTATTCTAGTCATCAAAGCAGACTGAATATTTATAAGTTTGAAAAATACAGCTTGGCTCAGAAATATCTATGAAGCAGTGAGTCTCTAACAATAAATGTCTGAACAGAGAGATGACATATAAGCTAACGCATCTGATACATTAACAGACATCATCAACTTTGGCATCCTCCAACAAATTCCCTGAGCAACCCCTGGAGAGATATGTGTGGTATATAAGTGTGTGTGTGTTGGAGAGAGAGACTCAGACAAAGTGTGTACAGGGCCGCCCTGTCTGGGTTCAGTGTTGGTGATGTTGCATTTCCATTTTAATAGATATGCTAATCAAAGCCAAATCATATGCTAATGAGCATGATGGATTGATGCTGCAGATATAACTCAGTTTGCTCTCATGAGGTTGACTAGAGGACACACACACACACACACACAGTCAGGAATTCATCCAACACTTTCACTAAGTGACTTACACAAACACATTCCAGTTACTGTCTGTGAATGCAACAACTGGACGGATACACAGACGCACATACATTTTCAGCTGTTCCACTGAAAATGGCGCATTAAATGACAGAGAAAAGAGAGCGAAGTTTTGATAGGCGCAGTTCTTCATTTGGTGCTTTTGGCTGAATGAAATCTCCAAGGTCATCTATTATGTGTTGAGCTAACTGTAACGTGTGCCATTTGGAGAGTCAGTTCCTCTCTAGGGGTAATACTGAGACTCGAGCTGATGAGCTGATATCTGCACTGCGAAAGGGTAAGCCAGCAGGACAGTTGCATGTACTAGCACAAGCACACACACACACACACACGCAGAGAACTGGTGGCAGACATGTGCCAACTTCCTTTTGCTGCAGGGATACATAAAAGTGGAAACTCTCCACAACAAAAACAGAACAAAACAAAGGAAGTCCCAATATGTCTCCCGTTACCATCATTAAACTTAAGTCAGTCAGTGTCATTTAGCACAAACTTATGCACACTGAGCTCACATCTACCTGAAACCACATCAGCTCCTTCAGCTCCTGCTGCAAACTTACACAACACAGACCAGCCCGCTCATTATATATCCACTCAAAGTCATGTCGGGTACAGTATATTCAAATGCAAAGCATATCTACTCCTTTACATCATCCACCCTACTGTTCTCAAACATTTAACCCCCCCAAAAAACCCAGGCACATCCAATAAATCCACCCAAACTTACCGAATCAAACGAATCACAAATTTAACGATACATTTCCTGCAGTCAGTAAAATTAGATCGTTTCTGTCCTCTTGTTTTAATTCTCTTTTCAATACAGTTGAGATTAGAAATAGAGACGTGGTGATGCAAACTCTTGCATAAGCTCTGAAAGACCTACAGACATTATCAGATAACACGTATATAATGAAAAATTAATTATTTTGGCATGGCTCTTAACACGTGAAATGTACTGACATGAAAAGATTAGAGCAACCGGCTCTGCACGGCTTCCCATGCAATTAAATTAATAGTTTAAAAGAATAGTGTCAAAAAATAACACCCTTTCCCTTTAGGGGAGATCTACTAATGCAGAGGGCCCCAAGAAAAAACTCAAAGCTTTCTGGCAAAAAAAATGTTGATACAACTTTTGGTGCAAATTGGTGCAACATCAACCAGCAATGCAAGTGATCTGGAAGTGGTATTTACTTCATATCCAGTAGGGCAGACACACAGGGATCTTAGTATACTAAGTCAGCTCATGTCTGGCATTAGAATCTATCTCCACACGGTTCTTGAGTAACCTATGATTGAACCTCACCTTCCCGTCTCTGTATGTGAAAACACAAGCATATTATTTCTGTTTGTCAAGCTCAAATAACAGAGTCACGCACAGGTCAACATTTGCAAATGCACACTCTATCTGTATAGTATAACAGACTTCAAGAACCAACCTCTTACCCACAATTATTTCCAAGCAAATCTAAACCAGCTGTGACCCTTTAATACAAGTACCCGAGATATTAAACACATCCACCTCAAACCGCTTCATTTTTACTAAACACTTTGATGACACCATTTTTAATTCACTCTAAGCTTCTTTTTAAAAAAATCTGCTTTCTGTTATCACAAAAAGTTACCACAAATCCCAGTAATATCTGTTAGAACCCAACAATATGATCTAAATGGGCTGTAATTTTTTCTTGAGCAAGCGGCCAACAGCATTATGCAAAAACAAATAGCTAATGACAAGCTGTGGGTAATCAAGCAAGTGCAGGACTCTGCCAGACGCACTGCTGCTTTGCACCTGCAGTAGGCACGCCACTTGAGTAGAAGGTCCTTTTAAGTGGCTCGCAATGATGTAGCAACTGCAAAAACAATTTGCCCATATGTGGCTCACCCCACCTCTCAATGAGGTCTGAGTGATGGGATGTTATTGCATCTTTGTTGCATTAAAATCTGGAGCTGTCTACTTATGATTGGATCACTCAAAATTAATGTTAATACCTGGTCTGAACAGGGCCACAGATCAGCAGAGGCTCCAGCTGGGTCCTCCTTATTGGCTTTTAAATGATGACACACACACGCGCGTGCGCACGCACACACATCAAGCACTCGCACGTCTGCTCGCACGTCGTCAACATGCCCCTGCACCCCCACTGTGTGAGAGTGATGGAGAGGGCTAAATTATTGATGCATCTCGATCTAATAGGAACCCCTGTGCGTGTGGGTGCGTGTGTGTGTGTGTGTTTCCCAATACGACTCAGCCTATGGCTTAATCACCGTCACCTAAGAGAGTCCTTTTCTAGAGTTGTTAGCTAATTTCAAGGACATTGTGTGTGTGAGATTGTGTGGCCAAGAGTACAAGCATGAGTAGGCTGCAAACCCAGACATAGAGAAAAAATGAAAAATGATTCAGAGAGCAGTATGATTAAAGTTTAGAGAAAAAACACACCACTGATTTCATATACACATGTATATGGATCCTGATTGTAACACACGTGCTGTGTTGTACTACTAAGTATTTTATATAATATGTGCTTTAATCAGCAAGAAAAAGCAATATAATGTATAAAAGCAGCATATAGGATGACTCCATCCTACAGCGACTTGCCTCTAATCTGTGCATTAAAAATCTGCTTTGACTTTATAAAGAAGACAATGCAGCTACTACACTGCAGCTGAACTCCTGGCACTCCCACTGTTTTGAAAATCACACACACAAAAGCTCTTTGTAGTGTGGGTGAATCTCCTGTCATTTCTGAAGACTTCATCATTTGTTTTGGAGAGGTCATGCGAGAATCAGCGTTTTTACAAATTTGTGGTGTCGTAGAGATAAAAAATTGCAAACACACTTGCTACCAATGCTTTTCCCCCCACCATAACAGCTTAAAAGCCTTAAATGTGATCCAGTTATTTTTTTTTTCAGTTGCACAGGGATTAAAGTAAACTATTTTACTCTTGACAGCCATGGCACTATGAAAGAAGGTAGAATGTTTGGGGTGTTTTCAGCATTTTACTGAGAGAAAATTCCTTCAGCCAAGTTTTAAATAGCATTACAAACTATGTTTGCATTTCTGAGGGTATTTATGTGTTTGTGTTGTGCTTTCCTTTAGATACAGACAAGTGACAAATTAAAGGAAAAAGAAACCTTTGCCGCTACAGAGAAAGGATCTGGCAGCTATTATGCAGGGGAGCTCTTGCTGGCATGGTTAGGGTCTGTTTGTGTCCTAAAGCAGGGATGTCAATCTTATGGCTTGTGGGCCAGAACTGGGCTGCCAAAGCGACCAATTTGACGCACTCAAAAGCCCTGCAAAGTTGTGAAATGTTTCAATTTGGGAGTTTCCATTGCATTTTGCATCCTGAGGCATGCAAATCATTAAGAACGCATCATGTCTCGAAAGTGGTTTTCGGAACTGTTATTTTAATCCAAACCAGAGTTCTGAATCCTTTTTAATTTTACAGCACAAAGGCCCACAAAGGCATCGGACATGTCATGCAATACCATGCTGAAAAAGACGGATAAACAACAGAGCGATGCTTTTAAGTTTCTTTGAATTTAGTACACTGAATGAATGGTTATTAATACAGAAAGAGAGAAAACAGAAGTCCTTGTTTGTGCCCCCAACTGATTTGTACCTAACATAACAGAAACTCTAGGTACGCTTCACACAGGAACATCGAGGTACCTTTGACTTAGTCTACATTTTGGATTCTCTGGTTCGCTCTCGCTTTTTATCACTTAAGTTCCACTGTGTCACACTGTGTAGATTGTCATCCATGCCTTCATTTAATCACATCTGGATTACTGTTTACTTGGCTTCCTTTGAACGTCTCCAAGTTGTTCCAACGCCGCTGCAAGCCTTCTGACTAAGTCTTCTGACTAAGTCTTCTAAATACTCACATATCACACTGTTGCTAAATCAGTTGCTCTGGCTCCCCATCAACTTCAGACTTCACTTTAAGTGAAAATGACTTGACTTTTATAGCTCTGCGTGGACAAACACTGCCATACAACAGTGAACTTTTACATCCATACATCCCCAGCAGGTCCCTGAGGTCATGTGATCAGGACCTGCTGGCTATACAGCGTACGTGACTGTGAAATAAAGGAGACAGAGCTTATGCAACAGTGGCGCCACCAAACTCTGGAACGCTCTCGCTCTGAGTCTGAGATCTGTGGACTTCTTTTAAAAGGCAGCTAAAAACTCTGCCTGTTTTTCAGCTTTGTTTTTGGCTAACACTTTAGTCTTAGGTTTTTATTATTGTTGTTGGAAAGCACTTATTCATCTTGAAAGGTGCTATAGCAATAAAATTTTACTAACTTGTTTTAAAAAAGACATTAAGTAGAAATGAATGGATGTTTTCAGAAAGTACTTGGATTTCTTTAAACTTTGGTGGTTTTTACGCAAATATTTTAATTGTCTGGCCCAGTAAGTCTCTTGTGGTCGAGCTAAAATAAGGCCGACTGCCTTGCCTGAGAGGAAAGGGTCACTGCAAATCAATACAAAGCCGTGGTGGCGCAGCCCCTCACTAAGACACTTAAATTTGTCACCCGTCTGAAAGTGGTCAAGCCTTAACATCCTGATATGGAAGCATAATGTGGAATCTCAATGCGGAAACAGCATGATTAATGGAGAATAATGAACACACAATATGCCTCCTTTCAGAGTGAAATCCCAGCGTTAATTAATATTAATGCTGGAGGCTTTACAACATTTCATTAATCAGCCAAGAACATGTAGCCATCTCCTCTCACATCCTAACTTTAGAGTGAGCACACACTCCGTGTGTCCCTGCTCTCTGCACTTATGGTAGTGAGGTTATTAAAACCAAAGAAAATAAATAATAGATTACTCATTACCACTGGCAGTGAATTTCGACAAGAGATATGCTTTCACTAAGTACAGAGAACAAAGTGCAGCTGTGCTAAAGAAGAATAGAGTTAATGACTACAGTAGTAGCAGTACCTTTGGTAAAATTTATAACTGGATCGCAATGCAATTTAGTTGAAACCTACTTGGTATCAAGAAACAATAATTTAGTAAAGGTGAACATATTCAGCTTTTTTACTGGCGACTATACTGATTTATCCTCCGCTCGCTAACAAATCTGAACCAGTCAACTTCTTTCTTTAACATGGAAAGCTTCTACTTGTTTTCGGCACATTCCACAGTAGACAAGAAACAGCGTTTTATCACTCTTTCAGTGGACACATGCAAAACTAACTTTTGAAGTCTTCATCAAGTGTTCGATAAAAGGAGATCGCATTTTCTTCCTCTTCTCTTAAAAGTAGCAATGTGGCAATGACAATAGATGTGACAGTGGATGTTTTGCTACAGCATCATCGACACTTCTGCAGTGGGTTTGTGTTTGTATGCCATTTTACCTCCACATAAAGAATTGGGAAGATGCCAATCTTGTCTCCCAGCATGCCTTCTGCCCAGTTCTCATCTACTCGCCTGATTACTGTCAGCACCTCATCCTGGGGAGAGAGGAAATGAGTGAAGCTACAAACACACTCAAGTATACACCGTATACCACACTTCCAGAACAATAGACATTTAACTGCTTTTGATATGCTGCAGACAAAACAAAGTTTATTTGTTCTGCCTTTGCATATAAAGCGTTTATGCATAATGACGTGACTTTTTTTAAAACATGGGCTACTTATGAAAGCATGATCAAATTATTCCAAGTGATGCCTTGCTACCTTGTTGAGGTCCCTGAAAATATATTTAATAACTGGCAAATCAACATTTTTCAAGGCTGTTTATGTTTATGTTGGAACGGCAACTCAGGACTGATACAATTCCAGCACGACACACTGGCATCCTTGCAAGCCACTGCATATTAACTACAAACTGTAACCCTTTTCAGTGACTGCAAGCAGGCTACTGAATTCAAATTACTTGAGCTGCTCCCATTTCAAATGTAAAATGCGAGCTAAAAATGAGCTAAATATGACACTCTGCAGAAATATTTAAAATGACTGCCTTAGGGCAAAGTTAAGGTGAATACTGATGCTTCTGTTTTTCCTTTTTTTCTACATCTGCGTGCCCAACCCAAACCAACTTTACATCGATCAACAATCGTGTATATAACAACAAAAACCAACAATTTGACGTCAGTTTACATGCTGGTTACCAGTAAATATGTACCTTTGTGTACACTTCCATCTCTACATTGTGCATATGATATAATATCACATGTAATATAATAAATATATGATGTTTTTCCCTCTGCTTCTCCTCTCCTCACATAAAGGTCTTGGTTAGACCATTATGGGATGGCAGTGATAATGCCAGCAAATGACTCTGTATTAGTCATACTGAGTAATTACCTCTCACACTGAGAAAACAATATCACACACACTGGTTCTGCATGACAACACGCATACAGAACTCCACGGGGGCACGTGTCTCTGTGTGAATTATGGTCTTGCATGATTTTCAGTTGTTAACCTGTTGATTAGTTTAACCCTAAAAATCAAAATAATGTGATGCCCCAGCATTATCTGTTCTCCTGGATGCAGAGAGCGGTGTGTCGGAAACAACGTGTGTACACTTTACATTACCGTGATAGGTCTTAAGACGCCCACACTAGACTGAACATTACACTGTAATTTAATAAACTATCTTGTTCTCTTGCTGCAGACACATTTAGAGTGCAAAGACAGAGTGGAGGTGTCGAGCCTTCAGTCCTAGCACAAATGAGGCCTGTGTAACAGCGGGAAAAAAATGATAAGCTCAGAGGAACACAACATTACGGAGAATACAAATTACTGTTTACACCAAGCCCGACCTGGACGTACACTGCTCAAGGACTGAGTGCCTTCTCTCATTTCCATCCTATTCAAAGTATAATTTGAGTGATATTTTTGACATCGGCTACTCAGATTATCTACCTCTTATATGATAAAGGTCATTAAGATCAGTAAGACTGACACAGAAAATGTACCCACGCTTGTACAATTTAATTCCCAAAATACAGAAAGCTGCGGACAGCAAGTCCCGAGGATAGTTAATGCCAGTTCTACGTGTATTTGAGCTTAACGGTATTATAAGATAGAGACATCATTACTGGCAGCAACATGATACCCAACCAATTAACAATCTGCTTGGCCACAAAGAGCAGAAATACACGCTTTTTTTCTTGCACTTCCAGTTCACACTTCCTGTCTTTTGTAAAAGCACCATTTTTTTCCTGCACTCATGATGACGCACAACCACAAGCGCATTAGAAGTACTGGAGAGTAGAATGTAATAGACATTTTGACACTCCAATCACAGATCCACGAGCAAAAAAGAGCCCATGCTACACAGCTGGTTAGGATCCAGGCACTGTTGGGAGTAATGCCTTACAGAGCAACACGTTATTGTAATCAGGTTAGAGTTTTCAGTACAATAGTAGTGTACCATGTTACCGTAGTAAATTTGGCACTTATATTACAGTCTTAATTACAGTTGAAACCAAGCACACCATTGTTTTTCTTGTGACATTACCAATACGTTTGATGTGTCACACGGCCCTCTTCCTATTGAAAAAACAAAAGTTGTATCCAAGATGGCCGACTTCTAAATGGCCACCATGGTCACCACCCATCTTGAGGAGTTTTCCCCCTCACATATACTAATCTGCCACAAACAGGACTTTAATATCACCAACCATTCCCATTTTATTACGGTGTATCCATATAAATGGCCCACCCTGTATAATACTGGACTTATTTTTCTACGAAGGTTTGAACTTTGAGAGAAAAGTGTGAAAATGTTCATGCCTGTCTGAGAAAAGTGTATAAAGTGTGTAGTGAGGGGTTTTACAGCCTTAAAACACATTGTAAAAAATAAAGCTGACTACTTCGCGGATTTCACCTATTGCGGGTTATTTTTAGAACGTAACTCCTGTGAAAAACGAGGGACCACTATACTATTATTTTATTGAAGAAAAGGAGCGTGTTTGTAAAGTGCAAACAACGCCCAGGACAGAAAATCCCTTACCTTGCTAACCCAATTTCTGCACAGACAGCATGCTAACACAAAGCTAGCCAAGAACCCAGAGTGATGGTACACTAAGCTATGCTGAGCCCAGCAGCCAGAGCCTGAACTTCAACAGTCTCTTTGTAAAGGTTTTCTTTGCTTTGTGTTGTCAGCTTTTTGTTTAAATGTAAACACTAAAGAACAATCTTTTGTGTCCTCATTGGGACATAAAGCATTTGTGTTGGTGTGTAGAACTGTAGCCTGGAGTTTATACTGTTAGCTGGTAATTATGTAACAGTGAATTTCAGATAATTTTTTGGAGTAATGAGAAAGTAATGTGACATCTACATTTTTACATATAAGAGAAAGTTAGGTAGGGTTATGTAGCAAAATTCCTGAAATAGCCCATCCCAATTTTGCAATGCAGACACAAAGCACATATCTGCTTCAATAGAAAGGCAATAGTGTCCTCCAGGTGGTTGTTCCTCTCTGGCCTTTGCTTTGGAAAATACTTTTAATATTAATTTCACATCAAACAAACCAAAACCCCACAATGGATTTTACTCCATGCAAATCCACATGAAAAAGAATAGATTAGACCCCACCAGTAAATAAATAGTGGTATTTTAGTGGAGTTTTTGAGTATAAACATGGTGTAAATGCTGTCTTGGCATTAAAACAGAAGAATATTAATTGAAGATGGGCATAGAGAGTATCAGTTGCCAGAACTTTCATTCCCCCCCCCCAAAAAAAAAAAAAAAAAACCCAGTCAGTGTTAAAATTCAATTTCAGCCAAATCCTCGAGGAGACTGGTAATGAATGCAGTGCAGCAACTCCCCGCTACTTGTCTGCTGTCTCCATAGTAGAAAACCTCATAACAAACACAATACACAATCACTTACACTGATGAAAACATCAGCTGTAAAATAAAAAAAGTGGTGTAAACTGTTAAAATGAGAGAGAACAAAGTAAAACATGAAACTGCAACTACAGTCGCTTTAAAAACCAGCACCTTCAAGTAACACACTACCACAAATAGTAATACTTATTCTGGTTTTCCGCTCAGACAGATCACATGACTTTATAACAGTAACAAAGGCATTCGTTTTCTAAGTCAAACAATTAGATTTCATGAACAGCACTGATCTTATCAGAGACAGCAGACTATTTTGTTATCTGTGGACTCCACTGAGGAGAGCATGCACTTGTTTCTCTGTTTGAAGATGTTCCAGTTTACATTCTGTGAACCAATCTGTAGAGCAGGGTCTGAGCTAATAAATTATTTGTGCCCTACAAAGAACCAGCCTGGTTTAACACTACAGATAAGTGTTTTCTCCTGCTACAGTATTTATGCTGTTGTAAATTCTGAACACATCAGTCCTTCGGATCTTTTTACTGATTTAAGCATGCAGCCTTTTTTTAAAGAAATGTTATTCTGTGTCGGATATTAAAAAAGCATGTGTATACTATGAGTGTGTGCTACCTTGCTGAAGGCCAGACAGTCTTTATCCTGGTCCTTGTCTTTGACCTCAAAGTCATACAACGCTTTGCCCTGGGGTGGAGTTTGGCTCAGGGGACGCAGCAGCTGGATGTAACTAGCAGGCAAGAAACCATGACAACCATTGAGCTCGCCGTGGTACCAGTTGTCATCCACCTTGCGTCGCAGGATGATGATGTCACCTTTGGAAAACTGGAGGTCGCCCGGTTCCTTGCCCTCATAAGAATAGAGGGCTTTGCCGCAAGGTAGCGCTGGGATATTCTGTGAAGCATACACACAGAAGCACTAAATATCAGAAGAAATTTATAACGTTTTAGAAGGGCATCAATAAAAAGCATTAAGGAAAGGGGTGGATGGCATGTGCTATTAGGGTGCTTTTTCATGTTAAATACTGCATTTTTGTGTCTCTTCAGGTTTTTAAAAACCCTTCCAATAAATCTTAGAAGATAAATTCTGTAATATACACTCTGAAATCATAACCTACATGATGAAGGGGTCAAAACAGAAGCTAAAAGGATTAGATTAGAGCACTTGGTTGCTGGTGTTTTGAAATGATTTGCATTTTTCTCTTATATTTCAATATGAAGAATGCTCTCCAGTACAGCAGGAGTTATTAATATAAAAGGTTCGACGGCAGGTGTTCTTTTGACATAAACATCTTACACAGAGCAGCTTTAAGAGCTTTTTTACATCTCTACAGAAGACTAAAAGCATTTCTGTTTAAAATTAGTGCAACTGTGCTGAAATGTTAGGCGATAACTACACTTGGGGTTGACAGATTACAGGGTAATGCTTTTTTATTAAATTCTGTTAAGATGCAACAGACTTTCCCTTTGTGTCATGTCCGGAATAAATGGGCTTCAGGTCTGTTTGCTAATCACAAACAAGGTGGTGACCCCTGCAGCGATGAATAAATGAAGTAAAAAAAAACAACCCTGGAGGTAAACATGCTATAAACCAACTTAAAACACTGGCAAATCAAATATATTACAAACTACAGGCCCTGGAGACAAATTTGTAGAAATTGAGAATTGGATATGTGCTTGAAGGTTCATTTTATTCCCCCCCAGCAGTATGTGAGATATGATGGGTTATTAAAATGTTTGCAAGGTAATTGCTGCTCCCACCTTGGGCCAAACATAGTAATTTTCAAAATGCCAGAACGGCATGAAGCATGACTCCCGTGAGTTTCATCAAAATCAGGTCCTCGGTGTCTCACTTATCAAATGTCCAGGACAAACGCACCATTTATCCTCCACACATCAGATACATGAAGCAAACTTGAGTAAAATGATTAAAACGTCACACTGAACTCAATTTGTGTTAAAACTGCATTTAACTAGTGTGCTTTTGAAATCATTTAAAATAATGATTTGCTAGGCAGATACCCAGTATGCATAGGCCTATCACAGGTACACAAGACTGTAACTCTTGCCCTATGACAGCGGATATAGGTTTCAGACCTGCAGACTCTGCAGCCCTAAATTGGAAGTTAATGGATGGATGGATGGATACTGTATGAAATCCTTGGGGTATACATTCTGCTATATGTGCTGCTCTGTCTGCAGCGCATGTAACAGTACATGAATCACAGCTAAGCAGATGGCGTTTTAATTGTAAGTTACTGACTAGCTCGTCCAATAAATTGCTGGAAAGTTCATGAACAATTACCTCATCAATCCTGCCTTTTCAATATGACTCTGACATACATATATATTTGGGTTGTCAAAAAAAATGAAGACTCAGATAGTAATTGATTATAAAAAATTTATATTGGATTAGACACTCCTTTGCAACAGTATTGATATTGTTCACATTGAATTCAGGCAGGTACATAGCCCTCTCCTCACTAGCAGTTATAACAGATGATTTGTAAAGTCAGTAAAGCTCCTGTTTCGAGAATATTAATGTTTTTAACAGTTATATCATAAATGCGGACATGTTTGAGTCAGCCATTTCTTTTGGGAGCACCCCGACACCCACAATAGCCTCTTGTTAGGTTATTACGGTAGTGGCGAGTGGCTGTGACTAATGATGAAAGGATAAAGTTAATGTGGGAGTCATTCAGCTAACATTATCGGTCCTGCCTGTCTGTTATTTTAAAACAGTCTTAGTTTACCAGGATAGCTTGATTATTTGTGTCCAATGAGACGTCAGAGAAGGAAAAGAGTATGGTGCAAGTCACTATTATTATTACTATTACTTGCTTTAGGTGAGTGTTGTTGTTGATGTTATTATTTGTATTTTTCTAAACTTTATTTAAAAATAATTTATATTTGTCTTCCTGTGGTGTATTGAAAAAGTATTGAGAATTGTGTTTGAAAGTTTGAAATTCTCCCAGTTAAGAATAAACATGAATAAATAAAAATTCAGCATAGGCATCATCCCAAAAGCTCCAGTAATGGTGGGACCTGCATGATAACACAGCACTGGCATATCTGAATAGCTACTGTAACATGCTATTTCTAACTTACAATAATAAAGACTTCTGTTTAGAGTGCTAATATAAGTAGCAGCCTTTTTTCCCTGTTAACATATTCTTCCCTTTACCTTAACTTCCACCCCTTATGCCTTAGAGAGGATTAGCTTAAATCCATACCCAGTTTTCTCTGCCACATTGAACCTAGGTTGACATGACAGGTGTGGGGGCATAAACACAAGATGTGCTCTGGATGCTCTTGCCAAATATTAGCTGTTCTCTTAATTATTTCTTTTTGTACTTGGAAATGTAAGCCACTCTGTTGAGCAAACCCATTTACAATATGATAGCGACAATAGGATCTGACATTTTTCCATATCATTTTTAGCACAGTAGGAAAAACTATCTCTACACTGTAACACAATTACAATGCTGTTTCTTTATTTGGTGTTACATAATGCTGCCTATTGAAAGGATCATCATCTGGTGAGATATTATGACAGTTTTCTAGTATGCTCTAGGATAATATCATGTCTGTAGATAATAGAATGAAGACATTTTCATAGAGACAATACCCCTTAACCAGCTAATTATAAGTCCTCAGTCGCACAGGCCTTGAGACAGATTAGCAAGCATCTGGCAAGTGAGAAAAATAATGTATTCCCCTGACCTGTTGCTAGTGGTTGCTGGAGATTGCTGGTTGATGCTAGGTGAAATTAGTTGCATAGAGGGTGCTGCAGCACAACCTCCTTGCAATTGCTTTAGTAATTGTCACGCTCATTCATAGTTTGCATTAAAGTCACAACTTGTCTGCACTCACTATTTTATTTTGAAACTTGAAAAGGTGTAACACAAACCAGAAACTTTGATTTCAAGGTAAAAGTTGTACCTTACTGCTGCAACCGTCACATTTCACAAGGCACAACTTTTACTTTGAAGGCAAAAAGCCTCTGTTTCCAGTTTGCGCCGCACCAATCACATTTTCACGACCTCTTGGTGAATAGTTTGCAAGCGTTTGCAGCCAAGTTGGCATCTGCAATGCAAACTATGGGCAGCCACGGTAACCAGCCAGCGACGAAAACAATCCCAAGAAGGTTTTTGGTGCAGCACCACAGGCCTCTTTGCTACCGATTTCGCACTAGCGATTTCCAGCAGCCTCAGAAACCACTCAGCAACTGGTCATGGAATACTTACTTTTCCCTAGCTCAGTGACCAGCTGTTGGCAAGGGTTCGCTGACCAGTCTGTAGGTCAATGGGGTTCTTCCTGTTTATTTCAGAGTGACTTTTAGCAATCTCCAGCAACCACTCGCAACTGATCGCGCAACACACTTTTTTCTCTCACAACCAGCTTGTGTGCTCAAAAAATCATAAATTTTCTCTGACTGTGTGTGACCCTTTAGCAAATAACTGTGGGTTGAAGGTGAGCCACTGTTGGAGAAGTTATTTAACCTGCCTACGTGGCATGCTATAGGGGAAATCTTGACAGCAATAGCAACAGCAAGTAAGGGGGAAAGGCTAATATAGTCTAGATTCAGCAAGTGAGATAAAACTGTCATTTCCATATAACCAGTGATACATAGATATGCATCATCGCAGTACACCTATATTTACTTTCTCCAACACCACACACACACACACACACACACACACACTGCAGCGTTCAGCAGACACTTAATAAACCGAACATGTTCTTGGAGGCAAGCGGTCCTGAAAGGGAGTTTATCTTAAAGAAGATCCAGGTAAACAAACAGCACTGTGTAACAGAAGAGACAATGCATGAGAGTGAAAACTTATTTTCTTCACAGAGAAGCTGTTTACAATAACACAAACACACGTACACTCACTGACATTTTATACACTCACATATAGATAGATTCTCCCCAGACAGAGCACTGAAGAGAACAGCCTGAGGCTCCCCTGCCTGACTGTTTTGAGATCAGTGATGACGCAATAAGAGGAAACACACACACAGACACACGCAAACAACTAGAAAGTAAAATAAAATACTAATGCTGCTTTAACTCTTACTACTGCTATTTCTCTCTTCTACTGTAACACATTTAATACAGCTTGTGTTTCACTACTATACAAAACAACACTTGATCAAAGAAGACCTTCCACTAAACATATTCTCCTCCTCTCCTTAGTGCCAGACCTGCCGGCACAGATGTTGGGCAGAAAAATGTGGATTGAGGTTAGGTGTGTTTAAAACAGGGGTGTGAAACATAAGACCCGGGGGCCAGAATTGGCCCGGCAAACATTACCTTTTGGACCACTGGGCCGCTTTAGAAAAAGTGAAAGAGGGCATAAAGTTTGCACATTTAAATGCATTTTAATAAGTTTTACAGTTTTTTCCTGCTGATAAAGACCTCCCCCATGACAGTTTATACCATACCAAAATAATCACGTAAAGGACAAACAGTTAAATGACTATCAGCGATCAAAATGTCTGTTTTTTATAATGGGTCCACAGTAAAAAGAACAGAATTTTCTGTGAAATATCAGAAAATGTCTGCTTTACAATTACAGCTCAGTCTGTGCAATGAGCTACCAGAAACCTTTCTGCAATTTCACATATTTCTTTCATTTACTACACAGGCATTTCTTTATCGTGTAAAAAAATTGAGATGTATTGTTGAAATTGCACCTTTTTACTTATATTTAGACATCTCGGGGATTAAATGTGTAGCTGAACTGTTTCCACTGAAAGAAAGAGGAGTTTCACTGGTCCAGCCCACTTAAGATCAAAATGAGCTGTTGTGTGGACCATGTTGTAAAATGAGATAAAGGATATTCTTCTTCTTTCAAACCAAAATAATATATACGCACAGGGATTCCCATT